TACAAATGATAACCAGAGCACAGTTTTCAGCAATACAGAAATCACCCTATGTAGACAAAATCTCAAAAGAATTACTCTAAAGCCTTCTTGCTTTCTTTCTGAATGAAAGAACTCAGTAAAAAATATGACTATTATATGTTGTTTTAAATGAAATCTCCAGGATGTTGTGAGGTTTATGTAAAATTTACATGTGTAGTTTTTAATGGGGCCATTTTGAAGCTTTAATATTACAAATAAAATAACATTTTAAATTGAGGACTTAAACTTTTTGCTGATATAATTTTAACGTAATTTTCCCCCCTCTGGTGGAATTATGACCAAATTTACTGTTATATTTTCACTTTTAAGTTATGTTCAGTGATGGTTTGGATTTAAAAGTGAAATTTCTCGCACTGTTTAGAATGTTAGGTTTAGAAATCAGACCATAATAGTGTCATTTGCAGCTGAGCCCCACACAGAACCTCACTGAATGGTTCACTGATTGAGTTGCTGAAATTTTCCACTTGGCTCTGTATTTGAGGGGCTTCCAGGTGTCCCTCGGCAGTGAAAACACTGTTAATAATGGTAAACTATGATTGTCAATTTCATTAACCCAGTGCCCAATTCAACCATGAGCATTGCAAGCTTTGCTTTTTTTTTCCTTCGAAGTGGTAGCATTAAATTGAGCTAGGAATCCTTTATTTTTGTTCTATGCAAATATAGTTTTTGCATGCTCCATCTCCGTAAGCACATTAAAAAGTAAATGCATTATATTCATTTCATTTTCATGTAGTATTGGAAAGATACAAAAAAGTGTATGTCATAGATTTCGAAGTTGCGCAGCATAATATTGAAGTGTACATTAAACCCATTACTCAACACAAGAATTAGAACATTACTGAAGCCATCGAAACAACCTGTGTCTTCCTGCCCAATTCCACCCACTTACCTCCCTTGAATTATTTTGGAGTGTTTAAAATTTCTTTTTTTTTTAATATTTTTTATTGAGTTATAGTCATTTTACAATGTTGTATCAAATTCCAGTGTAGAGCACAATTTTTCAGTTATACATGAACATACATACATTCATTGTCACATTCTCTTTCTAAAATTTCTGTATACTTAAATAATATATATATATAGAAATTTTTTTTTTTTACTTACTTTGCTTGTTAGAAATAAATGAAGTTGTGAGAACAGATTGGAATGTGTTCCTGTCTCCTGGTACTGGGGAGGCGAGGATATCCAAGAGTCTCACCATTTAACTTCTTCTAGGATCTAAGCTCTGATAACCTTTTGAGCACAATTGGATGAATCATTAAAATAATTGATGACAAGCTCTATAGTACTAGATCCTTTCAATTGATGTAATTTTACATTATCTAATATTTATCATTGTTAACTATATGACAAGACAGTGGATATTATCTTCATTTCAGGTTAGATTATAGATGCTCAGGAAACCTGCCCAAAGTTCTAGAGCTGGTAACCCTGGGATCTGAACCACTATTCTGTACTCCAAACCCTGTTCTCTTTCTACCTTCAGACACATAGTTTTGATCAATACACGATAAACTAATGAGTGAACATCAAGGTGTGACTATAAATTAATGATTTATGGCTCTTTTTCAAGGGTTTACACAATGTCAGCTCGGATAGTTTTTTGGCACTAACATTTAAATTAATGGCGTAAAGTTTAATGAGTATCAAATCATCTTTGAAGAAATGGGCTAATTGGTTATTTCATGTTTGACATGGTGTCTAATTAGCTTTTCCAGTGTTGAATGTGGCTTTGCAAATTTTAAAACAATTAGCATTATTGGTGATAAAAAATTATCCTTTTAGAATGCAGGTATGTCTGTGTATCTACTATGTTTAGATATATCCATTTGTACAAACATTCTGTCAAATTCAAGGCAATTATTTAAAGTAGTTTAAGAAAAGATACATAATTAAGTCCAGGGCCTACATATGTTTATTAATAATGTTGAGAGATAGCAAAGCTAGTAAGTCTTTATTCATGCATGGGTTTATTCATTTACTTTGTATTTTTAAAAAAACTAATAATTATCATTTTTGAGTGCCTGTATGTGTTGGACACTGTTTTGTTGAACTTTAATTTTTGATCTTGTAATTGTCTTTTATCCTTTTAAGATTACCATCAGACAGGTATTATTATGCATTTAACAATGAGAAAATGAACTTGAACAAAATCTCACAGCTGAAAATTAATATAACCATAACTCCATCACAGGTCTGTATGGCTAGAAAGCTGCACTTGTCTACAGGAGAAGGCTCTTAAAATCTGATACAGGGAAGTATGAATGGGGGTCAGGAACTGAGTCTTGGGTTTTGATGCTGCCACTGACTTCACATGTGATATTAGACAATGTCTCTGAGTCTTAGAGAGTTGGATAAGATGATATCTAAGATCTGTTCTTGTTCAAAACTAACTTATTTTGTGTTTACTCTTTCTCCACATATCATTGGCAGTTTGGCAGTTGCATTTCCATTAACTGT